GGACTACGACGACGACGACAGACACGACGACGACACGACGACGACGACGACACGACGACGACAGACGACGACGACGACGACGACGACGACGCACTACGACGACGACACGACGACGACGACGACGACGACGACGACGACGACGACGACGACGACGAACGCACGACCTACGACGACGACGACGAAGACGACGACGACGACGACGAACGACGACGATGGAGGACGACGACGACGACGACGATGGAGGAGGACGTCGACGACGACGACGTACGACGACGACGACGACGACGACGACGACGACGACGACGACGACGACGACGACGACGACGACTACTACTACTACTACTACTACTACTAGGGCCAAAAAAACGACGACCCTCACGAGGATTCTGGCCCCGACGGGGGGACGGAGATAGGCCCCTCTGCTCTTCTCAAATCATTGATTTTACTAGGGTATTGGCCCCATTTTGGCGTCCTGAGGGGGCCGCGCTCATCTTCCTTCATAGCACAATCATTGATTTTACGAAGGTTTTGGGCTCATTTTGTCCTTCTCAGGGGGCAGCTCTCATTTGCGCTTCTGAGAAGGTCGCAAGAGGCCCCAAGATGGCCCCAAGAGGCCCCCAGGAGGCTCCCAAGAGGCCTCCCCCCAGAGGCCCCCAAGCGGCCCCACGAGGAGCCCGAACGACACACACCAGGACGAGGGGCCCGAACGACTCACACCACGAAGAGCCCGAACGACTCACACCACAAGGAGGGGCCCGAACGACTCACACCAGGACGAGGCGCCCGAACGACTCACACCACGAGGAGCCCGAACGACTCACACCACGACGCGGGCCCCGAACGACTCACACCACGAGGAGCCCGAACGAGTCACACCAGGAGGAGGGGCCCGAACGACTCACACCAGGACGAGGGGCCCGAACAACTCACACCACGAGAAGCCCGAACGACTCACACCAGGACGAAGAGCCCGAACGACTCACACCACGAAGAGCCCGAACGACTCACACCAGGAAGAAGGGCCCGAACGACTCACACCAGGACGAGAAACCCCAAACGACTCAAATCACGAGGAGCGCTTTCTCTCCCTCCTCCTCCGCCTCGTCCTTCTCCCGCTCCCCCCACAAGGAGGATGTACAAGGAGGCGGGAGGAAGGAGGAACAGGGGAGATATGCGGGGCCAAGCGGACACACGCCTGAAAAACACGACTGTCGGCATGCTTCGCAAGAGTTGCTGCTGTGAGATGGGCTGGTGGGGATACGCGAAGCGTAAAGAATTTGCAAGGGCTTCACGGATTGAGGGCCGGTGGTTCTCAAAATGTGGCTCTCGCCTTAGCGCCGCGCACATTCGTTGTACAAATTTGGAAGAGCTTCACGGATTGAGGGCGAGTTGTTTTCAAACTGTGGCTCTCGCCTTTGCGCCGCGCACATTCGTTTTACAAATTTGCAAGAGCTTCACGGATTGAGGGCTGGTGGTTTTCAAAATATGGCTCTCGCCGTAGCGCCGCGCACGTTCGCTTTACACATTTGCAAAAGCTTCGCGGATTGAGGGCCAGTGGTTTTCAAAATCTGGCTCTCGCCTAAGCATCGCGCACATTCGCTCTACAAATTTGCAAGAGCTTCACGGATTGAGGGCGGGTGGTTTTCAAAATGTGGCTCTCGCCTTAGCGCCGCGCACATTCGTTGAACAAAAAATGTGCAAGGGCTTCACGGATTGAGGGCGAGTGGTTTTCAAACTGTGGCTCTTGACTTACCGCCGCGCATATTCGGTTCACAGGTGTGCAAGAGTTTCACGGAATCCCATGATCAACGTACCAAAAAAAGCCTTCTGCAAGGACTCGGGATTATGCGGGTGCACCAAATTATTTTGAACGCGGTGTCGAAATCAAAAAATGGCGTCATAGCACGATTCCATATCACCAAAACGCAGCAGTCAGGTTCATACGTGGCGTCGAAATTCCGAGAACAATGTTTTGGCATGCTTTAGGTTCTTCAAACGGTTGTCTTCCAACGAGGCAGTTCCCTCAATGGAGATGAACCGTTGTAGGGGCCTGTGACGAGGGAGCTTGGAGGGAGGGTTGATTCCAACATCGTTGATGACTCTCGGGTTTACACTGGTCCTCCTCCTCCTCCTCCTCCTCCGCCTCCCTCCTCTTCCTCCCTCCTCCTCATCCTCCTCCTCCTCATCCTCCTTCCTCCTCCTCCTCCTCCTCCTCCTCCTCCTCCTCCTCCTCCCTCCTTCTCCCACCTCTTCCTCCCTCCTCCTCATCCTCTTCTATCCTCCCCCCTCCGACGACGACGACGCGACCACGACGGCGGCAGCGGCGGCGACCCAAATCCGCTCCGCGCCAGCCCCCGCACCCCTCCCAGGGCCCCATCCCGGAAGCACCACTCCGCCACGGGCCGACTCCTGACCGCCACTGGACCCGAGGGCGGGCCCGCTGGAGGACTCGGAGGCGGCGATGGACCGACAGGGGCGAGTAGCGCATGGAGGAGGAGGAGGAGGAGGAGGAGGAGGAGGAGGAGGAGGAGGAGGGGGAGGAGGAGAAGCAGGAAGAGGAGGATGATGAGCAGAGCAGGATGAGGAGGGAGGAGGAGGAGGAGGAGGAGGAGTCGGAGGAAGTAGGATCAAATGAGCAGAGGGGGGAGGAGGAGGAGGAGCCAGGAGGCAGGAGGAGGAGGAGGAGGAGGTTGGGAGGAAGTAGAGAGGAGTAGAAGGAGTAGGAGATGAGGTAGAAGTATGAGGAGGAGAGGGAGGAGGAGGAGGAGGAGGAGGAGGAGAGGGATGAGGATGTGGGAGGAGGAGACTGGAAAAGCCAGGAAGAGAGGAGGATGAGCAAGGAGCAGGAGGTAGGAGGTAGGTAGGCTTGAGGAGGGACGGGAAGGGTAGGAGGGAGTAGCCCAGGAGGAGCATCAGTTGGAGTAAGGCGGGAAGGGGGACGGCACGGTTGCGGCGGCGCCGTCTTATTTCTTCTGGCTGCTGCTGTTGTTGGCTTATTTTATTGATTCGTTGGTTGGGTATGGGGGTAGTTGGTTTTGGTGTGGGGGGAGTCTAGTCGTCTATATGGATTGTCGGGCGGGTTCGTCTTCTTAGGACGGCGTCTTCGTTACTCTTTCTCTGCCTTTCTTCCTTGCTTCTTCTCCTCTCCTTCTTCTTCTTATCCTCCTCCATCTGCTCCTTCTTCTTCTTTGTCTTCTCTTCTGCTTCTTCTTTCTTCTTCTTCTTTCTCCTTCCCCTTCTTCCTCTTCTTTCTTCTCAACTCCCCCCCTTTCTTCCTTCTTCCCCCGTCTTCCTCTTCCCTTTTCCTGTCTGTCGCGGTCGTTTTATATGATCCGCTTGCTCCCTCCGACAAGATTGCGGCGAAACAAGCGCGTGGCTTCATCTGGATTCCCCGAAACCCAACATGTTAGGGGTCATCTCAACTTATCTCCTGTGGAACGCAGAACAAAGCTCCTGCGTCCGCCAACGTCCGCCTGCGGAGCCGGACCTCGCGTGACTTCGGCCAGCGTCCGCCGACCTCCGGTAAGGCGACAAGAAGGCAGAATCTCTCCGTGCTCGGCCTCTTGCTCGTCCCTCGCTCTCCCCCCAGACTCAAAGTTGGGTCGAGCCTCGCGGGGGCCCCTGTGGATTGCACTTTCTTTGTCCTCTCACGCCTGTGCTGCCAAATGCTTGGGACCAGCTTTGAATATGGGGGGAGGGGGGGGCGGAGTGAAGGGTTCCACTTGTTTGTCCATCTACGTTCCTGGTGTCTCCTCCTTGGGATGCCTAACTGTCACGGCTGCTCTATCGTGGAGATGAGTCCGCAAATCCGCCAGGGCAATGAAGAAAATGAGAACCGGACTGCGGACAGCCGTTAAAAATGTGAGGATCGCGAGGACTATGCGGAAAGAAGCAGAATCCCACCCTCCTCTTTCTTTTTTCTTTCCCCGGTTCTCACGGTCCTCACATGTTTACGGCATTCCTCACTCCAGTCCACATGTTTTACAGCGGCGAAGCCGCCAGGGACAGTTCCTGGTGTCTCCTCCTTGCGGTGCCCAACTGCCACGGCTGCTCTATCGTGGTGAAGCGTCCGAGAATCCGCCAAAACCGTGAAGACCGTGAGGACCGGAGTGAGGACTGCCGTGAAAAATGTGACGACTGTGACGACTGTGAGGAAAAAAATAATCACACCCTCCTCGTTCTTTTTTCACCGGCCCTCACGGTCCTCACAAGTTTTACGGCAGTCCTCACTCCGGCTCTCACGGTCCTCACGGTCTTTGCATGTTTTACAGCGGCGAAGCCGCCAGGGACGGTAAGAGGGCGAACATGTAGAACCCCATCTTGTTCGACCCTGTGGTCGCCCCGATCCCCACCCCATATTCGAAGCTGGGTCGAGCCTAGCAGCAGCCCGGGGGGCCCACGCCGATGCACCTGAATGCCGCGTTCCAGAAATGGCCGCGCGCCGATGCATCTGGTTAGAGCCGATGTTACCGCAACAATTCCGCACGAATCGAAGACTTGCGACGCGCGCCCGTTCAAGTCCTAAACTCCCCCACTCCAGCGCCCGAAACAAGGTTGCCATTGCCGAGCCCCGAAAATTGTAACGCCCGCCCCTGGGCTAGTCACCCGCATGGTCTCCTCCGACATCCAAGGGCGCCGATGGTCCATGTCTTCGGCGAGGCTCCCTGGAGAATGCACGCCAGCCCCTAGGCCAAATTCGTTCCCCTCCTCGCCCCCGAAGCGCGAGAGCGGCAAACTGACCTCCAGGCAAATTTCTCGACGGCGACGGCGACGCCAACGCCGACGCCGAAGTCGACGACGTCGGCAGCGAAGCCGACGACGCCGACGAAGCCGACGACGCCGACGCCGAAGCCGACGCCGAAGCCGACGCCGAAGCCGACGCCGAAGCCAACAGCGCCGACACCGATGCTGCTGCTGCTGCTGCTGCTGCTGCTGCTGCTGCTGCTGACGACGACGACGACGACGACGACGACGACGACGACGACGACGACGACGGCCGCCTCCAGCGCGGCCTGCAGCCACTGCTCCGCGCGGTCGGCCTCGCCAGCCTGGCCGAAGGCCTGCGGCGGCTCGATTCGGGGGGGCGGGGCGGCGCTGTCCCCGCGCAGGCCCCGAGGCGGGGTATGGCCTGTGACGGCTCCCGCCTCCTCTTCGGCCTCTGCCTCGCTGCTCCCTTCGCCTCACTCCTCCTTCCTGTTCCCTCCTCCTCCTCCTCCTCGCTCCCTCTCCTCCTCCCCCTCCGCCTCCACCTCCTCCCTCTCCTCCTCCTCGCTCCCTCTCCTCCTCCTCCTCTTCCTCGTTCCTCCTCCTCGCTCCTCGCTCCTCCTCCTCGTGCCTCGCTCCTCTTCCTCTTATTCTTACTACTGAAATTATTATTGTCAGTTATATTCTTCCTCGTGGGATTATTATGATCAGGCGTGGCATTATGAGTCGTATTAGTTATGGCAGTAAGCTTCACATTTTTTAGTCGCATTCTGGCTATTATGCTTAGCACAGGTCTTCTTTTTCGTGTTCTCATGCTTCTTTGTAGCATGGGTACTATTACTATGTTTCATCGGTCGTCTGGTTCCTCCTCCTCCTCATCCGACTCCTCCTCCTCCGCCTCCTCCTCCTCGGCCGCATCCTCCTCCTCCTCATCATCAGCATCAGAAGCATCAGCGTCATCATCAGCAGCATCATCATCCGTATCATCAGCATCACCACCACCACCACCACCATCATCATCATCATCAGCATCATCATCACCATCATCATCATCATCATCATCATCATCATCATCAGCATCATCATCATCATCATCATCATCATCATCATCATCATCAGCATCATCATCAACATCAGCATCAGCAGCATCATCAGCGTCATCGTCATATTCATCGTCACCAATATCAACAACATTACCACCATCAGCATCATCATCGACATGTTCATAGTCCGTATCAGCATCGTCACAAACAGCATCATCATCACACGTACCCCCAGCATCAGCATCAGCATCATTACCCGCAGCATCATCATCATCAACAACAACATCATCATCAGCATCAGCATCATCATCATCAGCAGCAGCAGCATCGTCAGCAAAATCATCATCAACATCATCAGCAGCATCATCAGCCGCATCATCAGCATCCACGCTGATCCTCGCGCCTCCTCGCTCATCTTAGCTCCGCCTCGCTCCTCCCCGCAACTTATCGCTCCTCCTCCTCCTCCTCCTCCTCCTCGCTCTTCCGACATCCTCCCCGCTCCTCCTGACTCCTGCGGACTCCTCCTGACTCCTCCTCCTGCTCCTCCTCCTCCTCCTCCTCGCTCCTCGTCGTCCTCTTCATCCTCCTCTTACCCTCCGCCTCCTCCTCATCCTCCGCCTGCTCCTCCTCGTTCCTCCTCCTCATCATATTCCTCCTCCTCCTCCTCCTCCTCCTCCTCCGTTCTCCTCCACAATTACACAATATGAATACTACTCTCCCACTTCCCCTGATGGCGTCCGGAAGATATTCGGCACCCCCCCGCGTACTGTTTTTTTACACACAGGTTTCCCCGGAGTTGGGTTTTCGCTTGTGTTTTTTTCTAAAATGCTGCTCTCGCTGAGGCGCTGGCCTAATTTTCGGGCTCCCGCTCCTTCCGAATCGTGTTCCCGCTGCAGCGCTGGCCTCATATCCGCGCTCCCGCTCGTTCCGAATCGTGCTCCCGCTGCAGCGCTGGCCCAATTTCTGCGCCTCTCGTTGTTCCAAAACGTGCTCCCGCTGCAGCGCCGACGTTTTCGATTCTTTTTAAGAAGCCCCAAATCTAGAAAATGATCCCCGGCAAAAACATGGGAGGTGATTACACATCCGGTGTCGATTCGTTGATTTTTGGGGCCGCAGAAAGCCCCCCCCCCCCTTTTGGGCGGCGTCCCGTCTTCGTCGCCGGTCGTCCTCATCGTCGTCGTCGTCGTCGTCGCCGCCGTCGTCGTCGTCGTCGTGGTTGTCGTCGT